TGAAGTAGGAAGTATTATAATCCCCATTTAATAGACTGGGAAAATAGGCATGTTGTTGCTTTCTTCATGTCACATACCAAGGCAATGACAGAAGAGAAAAGAGAATCCAGAACTCTGGATTCCAGGTCTCCTGTTCTAGCTTCGGGATGTTACAAAACTCCTACGATATAATTTTTAAAAATAAAGGTTTTTCTGTCTTCTAGCTATCAGTTAGATGAGTCTCATGAAAAGGAACTTTTGCTTGACATTGCTGTGAAAGACTGTCAGGTGATAAACACAGGCACATATTTCTATCATAATATTATACCGCTAGAGACCTAGAAGCATTTAGCATACTCCATGGGAATTCCAAGACTTGTTATTTTGCAATGTGGCTTTTTCTCCCTTTTAACTTGTTCATTTGGACCCCCGTAAGTTGGAAGCACAAATCTCTTAAATCCTACAGACGGCAAAAATATAAATGTCTCCTATGTTACTGGCTTGCTTTTCCTCTCTCTTCCTTTTTCTTGTTTTCCCCTCTTTTTCACACCTCTACTATACACATCAATATTTGCATATTTAGCTAAATAGCATAAAATTTCAAAGATACAGTAATAAAATGTATGCACATGCACAGGGTTGAGCCTGTATTGCTTGCTGAAAACTCCTGTGGAAACCACTGGAAGCTGTGTCAAGGAAAGCTCATCCTACATATCTTTTCCCACTAACGTCACTAGGAACAGGGTAAGGTCTGGAATGGATTTGGACTGCTTATGCTTATAAAGAGAGAAATGCCAAAATGCATAAAGATGGAACTAATTGAGCTCAAGAAAATAGTAACAATAATTGCATGGAAAGCCAGAAGTCGCTAAAGAAAGAGGCAGAAGGACATCTAACAACGACTGGAGTTTCACAGCATGGGAAGCAAGCTGTTTAAGAAAATGTAATTCCATCTTTCTCTTTACTGAGGCTGGAGGAAAGACACAAGCCCTGAGAGGACAAAAATAAATGCAGAATACAAGCAAGGCTAGGTAATAGAGATAGTAAAAAGAACTGGCACTAGCAAGGGTCACCAGAAATAAGGACAATCTGGAAAGACATCAATGCCTATATTCAGAGTTTAGAAATGGGATGAAAATGATTCTGGACACTGCAGAGCTACACACACACAACTTCCTTTTCTCATCTCTTTTTCCTTCCGATCTCTTTGGCCTCACCTTTCCTGTAGCATTGATTGAAACCAAACACAAGCAGAGAGGAAGCTTGCTCAGAGCTATATAAAATGGCAGTGGTCTTGGAACATTATTATTAATGATAGTAGTGCCTGGAGAATCCCAATGCAGATTGAGGCCTCATTGTCTTAGGCTCTGTAGGGAGATGGACAGTTTGAAGAGCATTTAGTTTGGCTCAAGATAAACCAGAAAAGTGGGGAAAGAACCATATGAGTATGCATTAACAGAAGCCAACTACATACAGGGCTAGATTCTGAGTCACTTGTTTTGCTTTCATTTTATAACATAAAGAACAGAGATGAGACAAATATTAGAGGGCCCCTATGTAAAAAATCTATTTTGAGATGTTTCTTCATGACATAACACATGAAGCAGAAATTGAGAAGATGAGGAGATAATATATTGTTCCGGTTAGAAGTTGACTCTCTTTTCCCTCCTCTTCCAAAAGACCCATAACAATCACACTCAACTTATGAATAGAGTTGATCTATAGTCAGGCCACTGATTAATAATAAATCTTATTAGTAAAAATACTACTAATAACTATTATAGTGATAGTTACTAATGGCAACACAAAGGCTAGATTTTAAAGCTGTATCTGCGTTCTACTAGACCAATAGTTAAGTAAAAGATTAAATTAATCGTTCTGGCCCCACAAACATGGGGCCAATCAGGACTGGCTCAACCCAAGTACAATTCAGAACAGCATTAAGGTTGCTCTAAGTTTTACTCAGTTGCACTGCCCACCAAGGGGCTGTTCCAGTAACTTCTTGCCAGAATACTGAGGCAATTGGGACATATCAGTATTTTTTTTTCTCCTACCATGTCTAGTACACTGGGGGCACGTCTACATGAGACAATGTGCAGTAGACTAATTCTACTGCGCATTAGCACACATGGCAAAAACCATGCTAATATGCTAATGAGCAGTAGTCTACTGCACATAAAGTGTAACACAGTGTACAATCGCACTAATGTGCAGTGCAGCAGCCTACTGCACCCTTATTTAGTGCTTGATTATACAAGTACTAAAGTTAATGTGCAGTAGGCACTGCACATTAATGAATGTGTAAAAGTGCTCTGGGTATAACAACTGACTCCATACAATGAAAAATTCCCCTATGACAGATATATCAGCTGACTATTTTGGCAACTTTTTATACTAAGTTTCTTATTGCTAAAACTTTGTCTGGCAGACCTAACTGGGTTCAGATCCTGGTGTTATTTGCCCCTGGGGGGTCAAAATTTGTGAGTGTTTGCAGGAAGGGACTCCGGTATGGAGGCTGATTTGGGCTTAGTTGTGCTATTGATACAGAAGTGCTCTTTCTACAAACTGAAATACATTTTCAATTTCATCCTTGGATCCCAGTATGGGTGACCATCTCAAAGGGGATGTGTGCATCTCTTAGGTACATGGCCATTGCAGTGCTACCCAGGTTGTTCAGGCAGCCACATACCTGCTGTGGAAATTTAAGCAAAGATGTTTTAGAGGAGAATGTTTCACATTCGCAATAATTAGTACTAATACCAAGAGTGCACAATGCCAATGTAGTCTCTTCTTATACATCCAACTATGCCCATTACTCCCAGGTTCATGTGCCCCTGGGTTCAGCAAAGATCTCGAAACTCAATACAGATTTCTAACCTGGTCTGGAAGAAAGAGAGCTGAATGCAACACTGACCCTCTCAGAAACCAATTCTTTTGACTTATCTCAGGCCAGCTCAGGGGAAGCACTTTTCTATTTTATATTCAATACCTGCATCCTCTTTCAGCTCCTCTGACTGCAACTCCTCTCCAAGTGAGGTCGCATTTGTTGTTGCTGTTGTGTTTTCCTGCTGCATCTCTTCTGAGGTAAGTGCCTGGCATGTGGGAGGTGGAAGGTCATTCGGCATTGCTCTGGTGGCACCATCAGCAGTGCAAGCTTTGCCTTCGGCATCTAAAACACCATGTCATTTAATCTTAATTAAGCTGTCAATAGTAAAAGCTAATGCATCCTGCCACTAATTAGAAGTATATGCCTAATAATCTGTTACTTACTGCACAGGGTTCTTTATGAGGACTCACTGTAGTGAGAACTTACCTTTGGCAGCATCTGATTTCCAGAGGTGCTCAGCACCTGTTGATCCCACTGACATCAGTGGAATTTGTGGATGCTCGGTAGCTCTGAAAATAAGGCTCCTGACACTCAGCTGCCTCACTGGGGTTTTGTGGGTGACTAAATTTAGGCCCCTTTTTTAAACAGGTGTGCTCAAATGTCTGAACAAAACTGAAATCCAAAGTCTTCTTGACACAGGTTCAGAGGGTCAGATCCAGCTACCCTGACCTAGCCTTGAATAGTAACTTTTGCTGCCAATAGTCCTATCAGCTGTAAGAACTCTGATGATCTTTGCTATTTTCTAGTTCAGGCAGATTTCCTTGGTTCTCTCTCAGAAATGATAGGATCAGGCTCACTTTTACAAATTGGAGCAACTACTTTCAGTTCAGGCTAGGTCTCTGAAATGATATGTTTGTATGCTGTCCACCGTGGCACTAGAAACTCCTTAGTAGAACCTCACAACATGTCTGTTCTCCCTTGTAATGATACCATGATAAGTTTCTTAAACTGCGATTTAAGACTTAATGTTCACACGCTCCCCTTTTCACTTTTGTAAGGCTTTTTGCTCACTTGATTAAGGGTATCAAACTTTGGCCCACAGATGCTGCAGAACTAATGCAGTATTTTTTGTTATAGGCTGAGCTCACTCTGGCTGCCTCATAATCACGTTTGGTGAAAAGTTACTGTTCTTAAAATAGCCCCTGCAGTAGCACAGTTGCTATGATACAGGGGAACGGGGGGGAAAAAGTTCACTGCCGACGTTACAGCTCATTGTCAAGCCAGCCTATACATAATCATTGGCATATTAACAGCTGCCTGCAATATTTGTCAGGGAGAGCTTTCCTCCTAGGAATATACCTTGTGTTACATTTGATCAAATCTACTCTTTGTAACTGAAAGCAAGAAGGAAAAAACTCCCTAAATGTTTGCAAGGAGCAGAACTGGATAGCTCTGTCTGTGTTCTCCAGGGCTAGGGACAGAAATTATACATAAACTGGTATAAGTGATCAGAAACTGGTATAAGTGACCAGAAATTCAGTGCGCACAAATCTCTTTCAAAGTGGCTGAAACTGGTTTAAGATAAACCTGGATGGATGTAGTATCAGACTGAACTGATTTAGGTTAAATTGGTTAATTGAACTTCTGCCCTAGATCCCCTCCAGATTCAAGTTAAGACAGTCCCCAGTATCCCATGATGCTTTGCACCTCCCCCCACCCCCACAAGGTGGGTGGGCTAGGTTTGGCCCTAGCTGTCTGCTCCAGCCCAGTAGGGAGGCATGCTGTAGCACCCCCCGCCCCCCCCAGCTTCTGGCCAACTGCAGGCATGTGACTGCATTTCCAGAATCAAAAGTGGATGTCTGTTCACTTGCTTATCAGTTCAATCTATGCAGCATAGACTAACCTGCAAAGGTTGAATTGATTTGGCTTCGGACTTTTTGACTCTCTGTACTTAGCGCAGGAGATAACTCCTGCTGTGCAAGCCACTGAACACTGTGCCACAACAATAAAACAGAGCCAGAACATTGGCTCCTTTAAATCATTATGTATAAAAAAACTGCACTGGCAAATGGAATAACAGCCAGGAGAAGACAGCCCTGTCAGCAAGCTTCTAATGAAGAGTGTCTGGGATCGAGAATTACGAGGTCCCTGGTCAGAGGTGGGCAGCGCACATGCAGATGCAGATCCCTACAGCAATATGGCAGTGGTAGTGCTAACCCTGTGATTTTTGAGAGATGATCAAGAGACAGCACAAATGGCAGGTATTAGACTCACTAGTATAAGAGGACACTAGAGACTCTCTGTAAGTCTTCAAAATGCTGACAAACTAGCGTCAGGAAAAAACAGCACTCTTCCATACTGGAGAACTCGGATCACAAGTGAGGACAAAGCATCTACTTAGACAGGAACAAATTATGGCAAACATTGGATTCTACAGCCTAAGCTGCCCTGGGATCATAGGGCAGTAGGGATGGAAGGGATGACATGAGGCCATCTAGTCCAGTTCCCTACTCAAGGCAGGATTATCCCCAGCTAAACCATCCCAGCCAAGTGTGTGTCTAACCTACTCTTAAAATTTTCCAGAGATGGAGATTTCAGAGCTTCTCTAGGTAGCCTGTTCCAATGCCAGTCAGTCAAAAAGTTTTTCTCAGGGATGCATCTGCGCTTCTCACAGTAAGAATGAAGACTCTCAGAAGTAGCATGACTCAGACAGAGTTAGCAGGAGACAGCACTTTTATGGTTAATGAAATCTACTGTATAATTTCTAGCATCACCCTCTAGATTTAATTTGGGTCACATTTGTTCCTTGCCCTTACTCCACCATGCTTGGGAGCAATGAAGCACAGGGCTGCTCACGCTGTGACTCCATCATAGGGTTCTGGAAACCAGGGGCTGGCTACTCGATACTGCACTCCATGAACAACAGGGGCAAGAAGTGGGAAGAGGCTTGGCTTGTTTAGGCACTGTCAATTTACAGGGCAGAATCTCTGGTGAGGTGCTATGAAAAGGGAAGTAAACTGTCCCTTGAAAAGTGGTTAAGTCCCCTTGTACAATCTGTCCTCAGAGCAAGGAAAGCCCCAGAAAGAAACTGTTCCAGGTACCAATTCCTTCCAAGCTATCCCTGAAGTGATGCAGTTTCTTCACCAGCTCCTATTCTGGGCTGAGCCCAGTTAAGAGTAGCTTACAGTTTCTGTAGGCTGGTGTGCAGTGCAGCATGCTAGTTACCAAGTGGGTACACTACAGAAACAGATCGTGTCATTGCTGGGTGACAGGGCTTCACCAATTTTTTTTCAGATTCAAGCTGTCTCTCTGTTTTGTGTTAGTTTAGTAAAGAGAACAGGAACCAGGTCACCCGCAGCAGAGTTAAGTCACAAAGAGAAGCCTGGAATTTAGAGATTTAGCATAATACTTCTCCTTTTAACAATTGCAAATTATTGCAGTGAGCATTCATTAAAAAAATAACAGATTTAATCTGAAAAAATGAGGATGCCACTGCTACAGTTTTGCCTTAGTCGGAGTCGGATTATGATCAGTTTTTACAAGAAATTTGGGGCAATTTTCAACAGGATTTAGTAAACTGCATATGTAAGATGATAAAAGGATGCTTAAGATTCAAAATATCTATTGTGTCGGAAGAGAATAATTTTTAGCATCATATATTGTCCTTTGCTTGACCATTATTCAGACTCTCTTGTCTAGAAAACAGTGTGGCATTGTAAATTTGCCTGATGTTTTTATGAACCTTACATAACTGTAACAGAGACAAGGAGGGAAGAAGAAATAAACCAGTCCATTTCCAACCAACCTTTGAAAAGCAACTTTTAAATTCTTGTTGATCACTGTTTATTGAACTAGGCTTATTTGGTTGTTTGTTTTATATTTCAAAAATAATTTCAATATGTAACTTCTTAAGTTTTATTTTCAACTTGTTCTTGATAACAAGTCAAAAGCTGATCTAGTATTAGTATTGCCTTTGATGTGCTCTACATAATTTTCCTTTGCTTGTTTTTAAAAGGCTATAACTTCAAATTCATAGTTCATTCAAAATGTATATATACACTGCAAATTTCTTAGCCTTATGTCTATCTAGTATCATCAGTATGATAAGGGATTAAGTAGTTGTCTGGTATGAAGGGAAAACAGTTCAATAGAGTATTAATCATATTTAACGATAAGCATTCTTAAAACTTCTACCAGAATAAACTGGCCATTCAGTAGCTTTTATATTTTATATATAAAATGCATATGAAATACACATGCATAGTTTTACTGTAATTACAAATGCTTATTTCCTGACTCTCTACTTTTTCAGTTGCAGTCAAATATAATATCATCAAGTGTCATTTTGTTGGGTTATTTATAGACTTTCAATTTTTTTAAATAAGGCAAAATAATTTTTGTTCCTATTGGTTTCAATAAATATTCTTTATACCTCTCAGCTTGGTATTATTCAGCAGGCCTCTTCCCCCTACCCTCTGCATCCCCTCCTTCCCCCCACCCGCCCTTTCCATGATAACATGAAGTTTGATAAAGTTCCTGAACCAAAGATAATTTATTTTAGCTATATTTAGGAAACATGCGTATACAAAGTTGGGTATCTGATGCTGGGACCCACTCTATCTGGTAGAAGCCTAAACCATCTCAGGAACCTGTCTTTTTCTCTCCTAGCAGCATTTGATTGGGGCTTTAGACAAGTAACTAATAGAATCACAGTCCTTTGTGCAGGTCTGTGGCATTTTACCCTCTTATCTTCAGTCACTGCTTCTGAACTTCTTTTGTATTCAGGAAGCTTTAAAAACAACAGCACCAACTCTCACTTTTCTCTGTGAATGAAGGACTGGTATAATGATATTGTGTCTTGTACCTGCTTGACATTAAAGACAACTGAAAATCTAGATTTAACATCATTCTATAAATAGTCCGTACTAGTTAGCTTTGCTGAATGCATCTGTATGTTTGGTGTTACAGTCATTTAAGCTTTGAGTTTCTTGGCAGTTTTCTGTAATTGCATAAAACCTACATTGCTGACTTCATGCTTGCATAACTGGAATTGTACCCAAGATGGAGAAACACCCCAAACTAATACTGTTTATGTTGAGTTATACTCAGAATGAATGTGACTCAATGATTGTTCAGGCTGATCACATTTTTTTCCCTTCGTGGCCATGTGTTTCCTATTTGCATGAATGAGAACTACAGTGAAAAAAATAAATAAGTAAATAAATAAGAACTACAATAAAAAGGAAGATAGCTTTTACTTACCTTGTTCCATCATCTCCAGAAGACCTTTCTTAATGAGTTCATCCCGACCTTGCCTTGCTGTAATCTTCTTCTCTAACACTACGGAAGGTGGTAGCATAACATAGAAAATCAGAGGAAACAATGGATGGAAATAGTCAGGTACAGAAATTCAATGGGAAAACTGCAACAGGTGAATGGTGACAAGTCGCAAATGCATTATGCTAATGAGTGGACCTGGAAAGGACCACAGAGAATTTTCGGGGTGTAGTTTTAAAGCTGGGCTGCATTTTGGCTGACTGGCCAGTTCAGTGCTTTTTTCATCATTAAAGCCATAGTAGAATGGCCAACTGAAGACACAGGACTCTGTAAAGTACAAAGATATACCAAGAGGCTTAACAACCAGGTTCATATCCTCTGTCAAAATTCAAGGTTGTTTCAGTGCAGTGTTTTGGTTTTATGCGTTGGTGATAGAGATGCCAGCTGCCTGGATCTGAATCTAAATCTCCCAGATCAGGAGATGTTCAGATTTAGGGTGTTAAACAGTACAAAACTGTTTAATATTTGTGACTGATTTGTAGGGGAAGCCAAAAGCTCCACCCTCCCCAAGACTTCCTGCCCACTACTACTTTGTCATACCACACGCTTTGTATAAGCATCTGTTACCAATATATTATTTCACCTGATTGACCTTCATCCACAAGTGTGAAGCATGGGGATGCCCTCCCCTGTTTAGGAATTTTTCAAACAAATCACCAGCTGGTATTGCTCACCGAATGCATAAGGGGCTTCAAAGCTACTTGGTCCTTCTTTTTTTTCCCCTTCCTCTCTATCTTCCATTCTGTGTATCAGTCCCTTCTGGGAATCAGATGAATTAGCTGCCTTAAGGCAGAGAGTAACTCTGATAGGAATCAAGAATTGGAACCATGTTTCATAGATTTCATAGTTATTAGAGTCGGAAGGGACCTATTAGGTCATCGAGTCTGACCCCCTGCCCTGGGGGGTTCAGATGACCTCAGCCAGGTGTTTGTCCAATCTCCTCTTAAATACCTCCAAGGAAGGAGACAGCACCACTTCCCTTGAAAGTGTATTCCATATTTTGGCAAGCCACACTGTAAAGAATTTTTTCCTGATATCCAATCTAAATTTGCTCTCCTTCAGTTTGTGGCCATTGTTTCTAGTTACCCTGATGGGCACCCTGGTAAACTTCGCATCCCCTATTTCCTGCTGTTCCTCCCCCACCCCGATGAGTTTGTAGATGGCTACAAGATCACTTCTCATCCTTCTCTTGCAGAGGTTGAGAGATGTTGTGAAAACAGTAGAAAACTGCAGCTCCGTAGTGTTGAGAACAGTGAAGAAAACATATGTCCTCTCTTCTCAGAGGACCTCAGCTTCTGTACCTAGGGCAAGTCCTGAACACCTCCTCTCCTACATAATATACAAGGGGAGAGAAGCTGGATGCCGGGAGCTCTCGCTAGGAGTGTGCAGCACTTTTATACTCCATGGAAAGGCAGCCTCCTGTGTCCCCAAGTAAAAACGTATTAGGGGGAAGGCTGTGGATTAAGGGTTGGCTATTGCATTCAAGGCCAACAATATATATAAGCAAGGACAGGGAGATGCTGAACATGTGAAAACTACTGTAGCCTTGATACTGTGACTGTGAAGCAGCCTTGGGAAGTATGTTCTTTTTCATGTGGTCTCCACAGAGTACCTTGTGGACCACCATCTTACATCCTTTGCAATCATTTGCTCCTTAGAAGAAACAAGTGACTTCTGCTTCTATGCTGAACACTAGGGATGCCTTTTGAGATGAGAGCATTCACACTTTGTCACCCCAGCATCTAGTAAGCATTTCTACAACACAATATCTGCCACTTCCTGTAGGAAAGAATTCTTACTGTTCTGTTCAAAAGTTGAGCCCAATCAGGCACAGCAATGACAACATGCTCTGTTTAGGGGTCTTGATAGATTTCTGTCACCAAAATGGGAATTGAAAATAGGTTGAATGCAATATGTCAAAAAGGAGTGCCTAGAAAAATGAAAACATAAACACCTCTAATTGTAGGGATACTTTTTGGGTACAAAGCTTTGGATGATGTCACTGTTCAAGCAGATATCATCATCAGTTCTCTGTTTACCATTCAGCACATCTTTATGTTTTTGTCCAATACCTTACCCATAGAATCCACTTTTTCTGGCACTTAAAAAAAGTCCTCTTTGTTTACTGTTTAATTTCTAATGCAAAGTGTTAGGCTCATACCACCATACCTCCAGGCTCATACCTCCAGCACAGGAGCAGTGCAATTTTCCCCACTGATGTGCAGAGTTCTTCCACTGATATGCATTAATGCTGATATGGAATATGTTTCCTTGAGGTATGTGAATGTAAGTTAATCCACTACTTCTTTACTAGTTGTCAATGTAAGGATTGTTTACGATGATGTGGCTGTTTTCAGCGTAAATTCCCAACTAGGACTGGATTGCTAGCGCTAACATACTTTACAGAGGTTGCCAAAGAGACATCAGATGGTAACTATTTGGAGACATGCCTGGCACTAGGCCATGTCCATGTAATGGACTTTCTAAGGATTATGGGTAGGTTGCAAAAAATAGCTTTGAAGCCTTTCCTGTACTCGTTTTAACTGAAGAGCCAGACTTTGGTACTCAGTCACATTCAGTAACAGTTACTGAATGGTGGTTTATGGTATTATTTAGATATAAAAGACTTTCCAATGGAAGTATGGGTATCTCTCCTCAGCCTATAAATGAGCAATCCTTGTTAATGCTGTTGCATGCGAACCCTTATAAATGCAGCAACTAGGGACATAATGTAGCTGCTTCAGTCTGGACTGCCTGCTCCGTTAAGTCCTCTTTAGGCAAGCTGAAATTCATTTCTTTGAAATTTTGTGCTTTGTGTTACGCAGGGAGCTGGATCACGATAGTCCCTTCTGGTCTAAGAACCTCTGAATCCACGGCAAACCCAATTTTAGGGATTACTTTTAGAATCAGGTCGTCAATAATTTGCCAGTTCTGCTTATTTTTCCTCTAAAGCTGCTTTGGTTTGTGCGGAGTCAAGCTGTCACTCTCATCCTACCTGCCGACGTCTGCTTTAGCTTCTCATTTTTCTTTTTCCTCCACTTCCACGGTTTGAAGATCCTGCCCAGTGTTGCCAACTTGCTGTTCCTTCTCACTGGTGGAGTTCTAATCCCTGAGACCAGATAGTCAGAACGCATTGCCGGGGACTGCTCCATCTCATCTACGAGGGTAAACACAGAACAAAGCCAACGGTGAGAGGAATATAAGACCAAGTGCTTCATGCTAGACTTAATACGGGGAGATTTATGGTAACTATTCCAGCTAAGAGAGCATTCAATTTAGGTATCTATCAGGCTAAGTAGTGCAAAACAAGGGGGGGATTTTAGTCTCTAAAGGAGGTAAAGCAAAGAAGCCCAGTTAAACCTCCTTGCACCAGCATGGCTGTTTGTACTGCAGAGATGTGGCTTAGAGCTGTGTTTCTCAACCCGTGGGTCCAGACCCAAAAGGAGGTCACGAAAATATATGAAAGGGTCACGAACAAACTCTCAAAAGGGATCGACAAACTTTAAAATGAATTGTCCTTTACAGGAGAAAAGCATGGGAAACCGTAGCTTGCCCCTTGCAGGCTGGCAGAGCTCCTCATGTCCCACCCCCATACCCCGCCCCACAAATTGGGGAGCTGAGGCCTGATTGGGGGGGGGGGGGGGGGGCTAAG